ATTTAAAATATTTATTTTTAATAAAAAATAAATTTAAAAATTACATGTTTTATTTACAGTACGTTGTGTTAATAACAACACTATATTTTGGGGGAAAAATGTTTTTAATTTAAAACATTGTTACCTGAATGCTAATTACGTGAATTAACTTCAAAAACGTTGAGAGCTAGTACATTCGCACGAGAATAAAAATAGTGCGTGTGATGGTGTGAAATTCTTGCTGAAATGTAAAGTAGTAACAAAATATGCAGTCGGGATTTTACTTGAGCACTATGGTAGGTAGCTACCTTCGTGTCAGAGACGGTCATGCATTAAGGACACGGTGAGGCACTACATTCGATAACTGAATCAGGCGCGTCTAACGGTGGTATGACCTGGAGCGTCCCGTGCTCTCTAACGAGCACTAAGGTTCATACATTTGTTTTAAAGAACACGCTACATCAAGGACACGGCGGGACACTACATGTGATGACTTATCCGAACCAGGGGATGGACACGGCACCCATGTGGCAGTATGAACGAAGGCTCATGAGAGTGCCCACTGACGTACTTATACCGGAGTTGTCGTCAAGATAATCTAACTCACTAAAACGTTTTGGTCTTATATATTCTGGTCATCGAGATGTTCTACCTCACTATTACACACGTGTATTGCAGATGATATACCTCACTTTTACATGTGTCTTTTCGAGATGATCTAACTCACTAAAACATTTTGGTCGTCGAGTTGATCTACCTCACTGTTACGATGATCTAAGGTACGGAGTGGCCTAGCTGTAGAGAGCTGGACTGGTAACCCGTAAGTCTTGAGTTCTAATCCGGGATCAGTACACCGTCCCGTAGTCCACCCAGATCTGATGGGTACCTAACTCACGTTAGGGTAAGTAAAGGTGGCTGGGCATAGTGCCGAGGTCACAAAAACATGTGAACTCTACTTTACTTGTCCCATAAACCATCTGACTTGAAAGGGAACTTCACTTTACTTTACGTAGAGATGATCTATCTCACTATTATGTGCTGACGGTAGTATGATCAACCCCCGCACCCTATAACTTCGATCTAAGACGTATAGCATCGCATTTGTTTACATTTACACAAATCAGTTCTAACCCCTCGGGCAGATGAGGTTTGTAAACTAGGAACAGCAACCTATCTAGGTGAGATAACTTCAAAATGAAACAGGAGTGTAGTCCCCTAGGCGATATAATTTCCAATTAGTTTTCCTTTAGGCCAGGGGTCGGCAACCTTTTGAAGCGAAAGAGCCATAAGTTACAATTTTTTTAATTTCCCAGGGTTTAAAGAGCCACTAACATTTTTTTTTTATTTCAAATATTTTTATTTAATTAAGATTATTAGTATTTGTGCTAGGAGCTGGAGAGCCGCATCTTGATATCAAAAGAGCCGCATGCGGCTCGCGAGCCGCAGGTTGCCGACCCCTGCTTTAGGCTACTCCTGCAACTTTTCTGATTCCAAGCTATAGATAACATCCTGTCCTTTAGGTGCTTAAATTTTCATTGAGCTATCAACCAATGATCTAGAAGACGTTGGTCATATTTATTTTATTGACCTATTGCCATCTGTTTATTTAAGTAATTGTTGAATCTAAGATGAGCATCTAAACTATATTTGTGACATGTATATGTGATAATATTGTGCTCTGTTCTCCATCAACGTAAATATTGTATTTACAATCTACTATTTATAAAACTTTTGGTTCAGTGTAATAATTACGTTAAAATTTCAAGTCGAATACTCACTATATAAATATAACCTGAGCGTTTTATTTGTGTTTTATCTCCCCAAGTCTGGAAATTGTGAGTGGAAAGCTGGGATGTAGTATCTCGAGATACACATCTATTCTATATATATATATAAAACGCAATGTATGTGTGTGTGTGTCTTTTATGCATTACCACACCTCTTATCACATCGCCGTGAAACTTTGGGAAGTTGTTGAGAATATTCCTGGGGAGGTTTCTGCGAAAAAAAAATTCAAATTCGCAGGGGTGGCGCCCAGGCAGGGCGCGATTTGTTTTTCTCAATATACGGTTTATAAAAATATAAAGTCGATTTTGGTTTGACATCGTTCATCCGATCGCCATCAAACTTTGGTGAGTTCATTAGAACTTTTTGGGGAAGGGTTCTGTAAAAAATAATTTTTAATTTCACAAGGGCGGCGCCACGGGAGGGTGCGATTTTTCTCTATATACTGTTTATAAGAATAATAAAAGTGAATTGCCGTGACAACGTTCACACGATCGCCATTAAATTTTGGGAAGAAGTTGAAGTTATTCCTGGTGAGGTTTGTGCGCTTAAAGCATTTTCAAATTCGCAGGGGTGGCGCCCGGCAGGGCGCGATTTGTTTTTTCTCTATATACGATATATAAAAATAAAAGTCGATTGCGGTCTCACAACGTTCATCCGATAGCCATCAAACTTTAGGGACTTGATTAGAACACTCCAGGGAAAGGGTTCTAAAAAAATCATTTTTAAAATTTGCAAGGATGGCGCCAAGGTATGGTGGGATTTTTCTCAATATACGGTATATAAAAATAAAAGACTATTGAGGTTCGACGCAATTTATCCCGGTGCCATAAATCTTTAGGGAGTTGATGAATACTCCCGAGAAGGTTTCTGGAGTTAGAGGGGGTAATAGGGGTATGTGGGTGGTTGTGGCGGGGGATTTAATTTTGCATGCCCCCCCCCACCCGACAGGATGCGATTTGGCGCCCTGGTCTTTCCCGTGAGCGCTATGGTGAATACGTTCGGTCTAAACAGTGTGATAGACAATGGATAGGATGGGGCGTTACAAACGCTTACTAAATTGAATCAGGCGTGTCCTCTGGCGCCCTGGTAGGGTGCGATTAGGCTGCAAATAAAAATGTCTGTTTCGGCCCCAAAGGCTCACATGGGCCACTGAGGGCCATGTAATACGTTTTATTTTGATAATCAGAAAAATTAACCAAGGTTAGATTATTAACTGGGATGTTTCTTTTTGTCCGTAAAAAATCTAAACAGTTTCGTCACTTTGCGAATGATGCAATTAGCATCTAATCTTAGATAATCAAAACAGAAATTGAGATCGAGCATCTAAGATTAGACCATTACTAACGCTAACATATTGCATCAGTCTCACTGATGTTTAAAACACGTCACCTTTTTTTTTACTTGTTAAATAACAAATCCTGTTCATTTGTGTCACTTTAGAGAATGACGCAATCTGCATCATTATTAACAAGATGCTATTTAAGGAGCCAGGGGTCGTACACTATGCTGTAGTGTAATAGAGGGGAAGGGGGGGGGGGCTCCTGAGAATGGGCCTCTACGTCTCTGACACATGGGCGGTCACCGAAGTGTGTTCTACCATATTATTTCGGTGAGTGATTAATGTACTCTCAAGGTTTTCATGCGGTAGTGTAGGTAAACCCGTGTCCTGATATTTATGATCCAAGCGCATGCATTATTACATTTAAATAACTGATTTTTATAAAAGAAGGTCACGCGTCTAAGAACATATGATTGGTAACACGTTTGTGAAATACTTCTAATATATTTCGTCAACATTTCTTCTATCCCCGCGGCAACGGCCGGGGGTCGGGTACGCTAGTATTTTATACAATCGTCGAGATGCCACTTATCTATTTGTATAATTTAGCCCTTATTCGGTATCTTACTTCTTCATTAGGTTTTTAGTTAGTAGATGGATACAATTTTATCTAAATTGTATTTATATGTTGTTAACTTAATGATTTTTTTTATATTTTATTCGACTAAATTTTCAAGTCTCTATATGTAGTAAACATGTTTTAAGAAATGTATAGTTTTCAACAATAAATTATTATGTAATAAAATAAATTGTAAAATAATTGTAATGATTGGAATATAAAGGCTATTATTACTGAGTAGAATTTCGTATTTATTACAACTACTACTACTTGACTTGCCTATTTTTATTTTATTCGCGGAATACATGCTTGGGGAATATAATGACATTAATCATTTGGAAATTGAAGAAAGAAAAAAGCAAAAAAAAAATTATTAGCATGTTTTGTACCATGACAGTAGTCTTCTTTTTTTATGGCCGGGGTTAAAAGTCACTCCAAAGAAAAAGTGTGACTTTTCACCCCATTGCCTGTGACATTTTACCCAAGCAGGGAGTTTGACATACACAATTATCCACAATTTCAAATCAATTTCTCAAAAGTAAAAACAATCAATCCAGACTGACATTTTCCATGAGAAAAGAAACGTTGCACGAAAACACACAAATAATAAAAGATGCAAGCGTATTTACAGGATTCCGTTGATTAAATTTCCCACTTGTCAATGAAAACAAATGCATGAGGTTCTGAACTCAGTTCCGGTTCAAAGAGTTACAACAGGAAGTGAAATACAAACAGGGTAAACGACTTAAAAACCATATTTTTTTTGGATAAGGGAATGAAAAAGTATGTTCTTCAAGGTAAAAACTTGCTGTGACTTTTCGCCCCTGTAACTTTTCGCCCACTCCTCCCCTATACATACACACACACACACATATATATATATATATATATATATATATATATATATATATATATATATATATATATATATATATCGTATATGTTATTTGTATAGGTATATAATTATTTAGAATCAATTTAAAAGTGTTTACAACTACATAAAATAACAATATAATGTCAATAATAATTGCCGTAAAAGCTAATTTAACGACTTGCAGGTGGGAGTTTATTAATAGTAGCCCACATAATATAAAAAAAGTGAATTTTCTTTTCATAATACGAATTGTTATATGTTCTATAAATAAATAAAAAGAATGGAGGTTTAAACTAAATCATAAATGTAATCTTAAAAATTATTTTAAAACTTTATTTATTTTAATAACTTATTTTAGTTATATTGTTTAATCTTTCGCATTTTGTGCGAATGTTCATAAGGTACTAGCCAAACAGAAATGTCAAAGACATATTAAAAAACATCTGCGAAACCTCAGATTACCGGAACTTACGTGTAACAAAAATAACATCGCCATTTCAATTGAACATAGCCCTATGCGAACTGTTGCAGAAGGTACGTACTTTTTATTTCTCTACCTAGTTTTATTAATATAGTTGAATCGATTTTAAATGTATGCTGACTTTAAAATAAATAGGCCATATTCAAATAGATAAACTGAAATTTGATTTGTTTTTAATTATTTAAGTCATACATAAAATGTCAATTATTAAATATGAGGTAAAAAGAATTTGGATTTATTAGCTAAGCAGTTGGCCAAAGTAGGTAGTGTTTTTTGTACTGAATTTTCTTGACGTTTTGTGTGTATTTATTTCGTGGAAAAAATGCTGTTACTATGGGCTGGGTTAAAAGTGTGTTTAGTTGTTAAAATGGAAAGGGAAATTCTAACTCCAATTTAATAATGGTATTTTCTTTAACTAGTAAAAACATTAACATCAAGATATATTACGTCATAGTATGGTTGTATGTGTTATAAGAATATAAGTATGCAACTTATTTAAATAACGTAACAGATATAAAATAAATGCTTGTATAATTTTTCCCATAGAAATAATACGATTCAAACTAATACATTTTATATTGATTAAATAAAGAAAATTAAACGCAAATCATAAACTTCGACCCATCTGGAATTCAACATTGATACATTTTTTTTTACTTTTTAAATCCGCATACAAAAATGTTGATTTAATATTTTGCTTCATAAAAGTGGGTCAAAATACGGGACCAAAGAAAATACTTTGGAAAATTGAACTATATTCAAATTAAGTTTATATACAGCACCCCTCTCACCACACACTCTAAAAGTTTCTCTGGTTGCCTTCCCCTTCTATCTGTGAACCCCCCACCCAGCGCTAAATGCCTCGTTAAAATCTACTTCTATAATATAATCATTTTATTTAGCAAACGAAATTATGTGAATTTGAAATAGTTTGTATGACTAGACTTAGATCTAGAATCTGCTTCAAATTAAACTTTTAAAAGTTTATACAGCATGTAGTTGATATTATTGTAGTAGAAGGCTTTAATAAATTACTTAGGCCTACCTACTTTGTGTTGTTTTATAGTTTATAGTAATATGTATCTTACTGGACTTGGAGCTTAATTAAATTCAGATTCATATCTAGTAATTAGTCTACTAAGTTTATGTAGCCTAGTAGTAGAATCTAGATCATATCAGCCAAAACAACAAATAGCCACATTATTATTATTAGGTTAATCATTAGGCTAATTTTTTTTTTTAAATCCGCTGTTTTAAAAATCAACAAATCGAGCTAGAAACATTATAAGTGAGATGTTTTAGAGTAATAAATTTGATTAGTGCTTTCCCCTGATAAGCCATGTGTGCTATAAATGACATAACATGACATGGAGGTGAGAAATGTTGAGGGGGGATCAGTGGGACTGATTTCCCCTTTGTTCTCCCTCCTGGGCCATGAGGGTCATAAATTATATAAGAGATGCTATCTCTAGTTCGTTGAGGTCTAAGAACAGTAATCCTTGTGGGGGCTGGGCATCATAGAGATTAAGAAATTTTGAGGGTGGAACATCATTATAAATGTGTCTGATCACTTCCCTGCTGGATATTTATATCATCCAGAAAACAACAATATAAGGATCTTAAATTTCCAAAAGTTCAAGTTTTTCATAGTATTGTTTATTTTCCGCGGGTGCTGTTCTTTACATACAGTGAAAACATTTTGAGATACGTCCAGCGCTGACGAACAGCTGATTGTGTTTACTGTTGGTGTACACCACCGTGGCGGCGGAAGTAGATATCACGTGATTTAGGTCACGTGTTTGCAAGGACTCTATAGGCTTGTCAATCGGGAAAACATTACGGGACTTTTACTTATTCTAAATATACCACATGTGTTTGTTTCTCCCTAGACACACATTTTCACATTGACCAAAAAAAAAAAACAAATGAATACGCAAAGAAAAAATAAATACATTGGAACGTATTCGGACACAGACAATATAAGAAGTTATTAATCAAAAGATTTAGAAATAATATATAAATTCGGGAAAACCGCAGATTAACGTACCTTACGTGGTACTAATAATAACCCTCTGTGACCGATCGCCATTTTAAATCATCATAGGCCTAAGCGAACGGTTGCTGGCTGTATGTAATTATTATATATCTTTCAAGTTCTATTAATTTAATTAGTTTTGTTAAAATATTTCCTAACTTTAAAATAAATAGACCATTTTAAATACGTTAAACTTAAACAATATTTCTTTGATTTGTTTTTAATAAATTAAGTCACACAAAAATTATCCATCTATTATTCATTTGTCGTACTAGTTAACATTTTAACATATCGTCTTAATATTTAGCTAGCAGTTGCCCGTACTCAGTTAAACTGCTGTTTGAATCGGGTGGGTGTCGGGTGGCCGTAGTTACTGATTTTTGCGACGATGAAAAATGTAACTCGTTCATTAATGTTTTTTTTTTTTTTTTTGCGAAAAGAAACGTAGTTTACATGGTGTGGATTAAAAGTGTGTGCAGTTTTTTGAGGAGATAAGGACGTTCTGACGCCAATTTATTACAGACGGTTTTTTAACCACTAAAATTACTAAAAATACTAACATCAATATATACATATATAGATCTAAATATTAAACAATTTAACATCGGTTAAAACACATTTTAAAATTAACGGAAATAATCAAATTGAATTTACCAAGAAAAAATGAATATGGTCTATATATGAAACGTTTTCGAAAACAACATTCAGTCACATATTAATAATATTGTAATGTTGAAATTTTCAGGGTGGGGGGGCGGTAAACATTTTTTCTGGGGGGGGGGGGGAGCGGACACTAGTAAAAGGTAAAAGTGTACCTTTATTATATAAAATCCATCTCGTTCGGGGGAGAGGGGGGGGGGGGGGCGGTAGACTTTCCTTGGAGGGGGGGGGAGGCTTCGTCATTGTACAGTGTCATTAGTGGGTCAGGTGATAGTCCTAGATCTAGCAGCAATCTAGCTAAATCAAACTGTCCTTTAGTAAATTCTTTGAACATGTATCTTAGCATGCGTGATAGCAGATTTAATTCTATATTATTTATCATATGTGAACTTAAAAAAACATTTCAATTTGCATTTAGGGTGAGGGGGGGAAGAGAGAAGTAAACACACAGACGATTTTGTGAACTTGTGTTCATTCTATGACATATGCTTTTGGTCTACTGAACTCAAATTGACCTCGCCGACCGTGGGCCGTGGTGGGATTTTCCACTCACAGGATAGTAAACGTAAGCAAGCAATCACGCCAGTAACGATGTTTGGAAATTTAAAGAAACAAGAATCAAACGTCATATTAAAATTTAAAAAAGACAATAGTATCGGCACACTGTAGACTCAACCACACTAGATGTGTTTGAGAAGGAAAAAAGTAAGCCTTTTCAATCAAGATAGCAAATCCAACCTGCGAGACGCATAGTCACTTAGTAATGGGCCACGTTCTGCTAGATGCGTAGTCACTTCAGAATAATAAACAAAAATCAATGGCTGAATATATCAATATAAGCCAGAAATTAACGTTAAACAGCAGCGTTTGCAAGAAATATTTGCTATATATTATATTAACAGCAGTGTTTCTTCCAGACTTTTTTCTGGGGGGGGGGGGGGGGCACTTGAAATTTTCGGGGGGGGGGGGGGGGGCGGTAGACTTTCTTCGGGGAGACGACGACGACACTGTTAAAAGTATATATTTTCTATATAAATTATATAAATTTCGTTTCCTTCGAGGGGGGGGGGGGTGGCGGTAGAATTTCTCCGGGGGGGGGGGGGGACGACGACACTGTTAAAAGTATATATTTTCTATATAAATTATATAAATTTCGTTTCGTTCGAGGGGGGGGGGGGGTGGCGGTAGAATTTTTTTTTTGGGGGGGGGGGGGGGAGGGTTAAAGCCCCCGCCCCCCCCTCCCCCGAAGAGATGCCTGGAAGAAACTCTGAGTAACAGATTTTGATATTTTGAAGTCTAGATCTAGATCTAGACTTTATTCTAGACCCAGACCTAGATCTAGAATCTACTAGTAGTAGATACTATAGGTCTAGATAGAATTAGACTAGATTAGAGATAATCTAGTGGTAGGGATCCTAGAACTAGATCTAGATCTTGTCATAGTGCTCTACTCTACTAGGACTACTAGAATCTAGAATTTACACTTTGAAAGACAATGTAACTAATCTAATTTCTAATTTAGATTAATCGAGATCTGCTTTCTATAAGAGAGTGACTATTAGTAGTTTTACTTCTTTTGTCTTCGATGAGGATTTGAACTCGAGACTTTTGGGTTAGCAGCCTAGTGCTCAGTTTGTGGCTAAATTTCTTTCATTAATTGATATAATGATTAACTACTTACTTGTAAAAGTAAAGGGAGTTATATTTCTTAACACAATCTTAAGTTAATTGCATGTCTTTATTTACTTTATAATACTTTTAAAGAAGTTTAAAGGGTATCTGTGCTTATCTAACCTAATTGTATGCTTTCGGTTGTTGAAGTTATTTTACAGCAACTGTGTGTTCAAATGCCGTGTTTAAGGACAACATTAAAGCGGTTAAGTTATGTTAATATTGTAAGCTATATTTAATTCTTTGAATAAAAAAAATGTTGATATATTTTGTTACACAATTCAATTTTTTTTTAATTTGAGCTCAATTTTGGTGATATAGCTTTTATTTTAAAAAATCAGCAACTCTTGTGATTTTGTTTTATCACCACACTTTTATTAATAATAATGTAAAATGTATTATCATTTTTTCCCTTATATATATAATATATATGTATGTATATATATATATATATATATATATATATATATATATATATATATATATATATATATATATAATTATATATATATATATATATATATATATATATATATATATATATGATGTTAAAATTAGGTGTATTTTTTCAGAGTGTGATTACATGGTTTCATAGCCTTTAGTTTATTCTAACAACATTTTTTTGATAACAGGAAGGCGTGTGTAATGTATTCTAGGTTCAACCTGAGTCTCCACAGATCTTGCATGTTGTGAAAGTCAAAATAAGAATAAAATGAGTGACCAACCAGGTGTGTTTTGTCCAGGTAAGATATACTAAACCAAAGGGGAAATAAAATGTAAGAGAAAATATGTATAACCTAGTTTAAACATCTAGATAACTTCTGTATAACTTATTAAAACACACGTTTTTAAATCTAACATTCTCGTCGCTGGAAAAATGTTTTATTTTTTCCTGTAGGAAACCATGAAGTTGAGATGTGCTATGGAGGAGAAGCTGATCTACACAAACATGTTACTGGCTGTAAGAAGAATCCAGGTCACAAAGGTTTTATACCTCTTAAAGATTTTAACACAAAATGTCTCCCCTCACGTTACCATGACGACGAGCTCATGTCTGAGACAATCAAAACATTGGCAGCCCTAACTGTCCAGGTAAAGACTAAATTCACCAGTCTAGAGAGACCAGCATTTATAAGAGACACTCAATCTCCATATCCATTTTATAACTACAGAGGAAGTCACTTGATCAGGTTAGGGACGGGGAGGGTGAGTTGGGTGAACAAGTACACAGAAAGGGACGAAACTTGTTATTGTGCCAAGTGTCAAGTCTCTGCCACACCCAGCAAAGTGTGGGGGAAGGTTCATGTGTTGACATCAACACACGTGGTGTTTGATGACAGTGAGGCGAGAAAGACCAGGTGTGTTATAGGTTATGATGACAATAAAAGTCCTGGGGTTAGTCTTGATGGCTGGTGGGTGGGGGGTGGGACAGACATTGAAAGGGACAGGTGTGTGTTGAGATATGTGACATGTGACTTAAAGTTGGTTGATGAACTGGACAAGATGTGCCAGCGCTTTGGTGATTTATGTAAGGAAGTAAGGGACAAATACGGGAGATTTGTTCATGTGGACAAATTGACCATTATAGTGTCACATCCTCATGGCTGTCCTAAACAGGTCTCTGTAGGACAATGGACACACAGACAAGAGAGGGATGGCTGGACCAGGTACTGGTACACAACATGTACATGTCCAGGCTCCAGTGGAGCGTGTGTCTACAGGATGGGATATGTCTATTTGTGTGACCATCCCCACAGTGGATGGGACTCTGAAGGAAATCATAGTGGGGAGTTTTGGATGTAAATATTAGTTCTCTCCCCTTGTCTACACAATGTAACAAACAAAATGGCGGAACTTTTCCCGTCGTTAAACTGTTTGTATTAAGACTTGCATGTCTTATCAACATTGTATTACATATAATGACTAAAATAAATATTTTGATTTTTTTTAATAGGCGTAACCGAATTAATTTACATGTACATTGATGGATTTTAGAGTTGTTTTTTTTGTTTCAAATGTTTAAATAAGTTGCTTTTAACTTTTAGCGGCAAATTACTGTCATATACCTATAGGTCAGCTATTACCTGTAAATTACATGTAACCTACCTATCAAATGTCATATTCATACTGTTTCTATTTGTTTACACAATGTCCACACAAAACAACATAAAATGGTAATAGAAAATGTCTTTCTACTGTTGCTATTTAAATCTTTGTCATCTGTTGATGTTTAAGTTGTTGGTAAACAGCGCATGTTGTGATGTTGAAATTCGCGCAAGATTGACATGGGTTGTAAGTTTAAACTTTACAACAAAGTCCATTTGTTTATGCCCAATACACCTGTTAGACTAATTTATATGAGATAATTAGAATAATGTGGAATTCTAATCATTTAAAAAAAATTGACACATCGCATACTATATTTAGATACTTTGTCGCTTCTAGACCTGCTCAAATAGAAAATAAAAAGTAGTTTGATGCTGTCATTGACTGACGTTTATGAAAACATTATTGTCATTATAATTGACTAGGAATCCTTGAGCAAACTGACTGTGATATTATAAAACAACTTTTGTAAAAGTTGATAGATCGGCAGTGATCAACAACTAGTGTGGCTTTAAAACATTGAATCAAAGTTTTCAAACATGAAAACTGTAAAGCAGGGCGTTAATAAGCAACTGGAGAAATGGGAAGACATGGTCGAGTAAAAGAGAAGACGCATTTCATCCCCAAGGACACGAGTTTGATTCCCATGTTCGATTACCTTTCTTGATGCACAGATCTGATGTGTACCTGGACATGTTTGGAGAAAAATAATTCGGCTGGGTGTTCCGTGTGGACTCAATGACGTAATAAGTTATGAGCTCTACTTTCACTGCCGAATTGACCGCATGATAGGCAACTTAAAAGAAGTTTGTCAATCTAAATATAGTATATAACACAATGTTTAACACAAAAGTTACACCAATCCTGCTTATGTTCGAATATTGATACATTTTCCGTTATAGCGTGAAGTTGAATTAGGGACAATATCGGCTTTATGACTTTGCTCGCTGTTAAAAATTTGGTTAAAACGATAAAACAAATGTATGAAATAATTATCCTTCGATAAAGGTAAGCCATAGCCTAAATATTGCGACCTCTAAATTGGAATTAACTACTTTGTGGTCTAAGGGAAGTAACAATGAAATAAAGATTGAATGACAAGTATTGACATAGCTGTTTCCCTGTTTGATTAAATTTAATTGTTTACTTTTTTGTGTTACACAATAAAAAATTATTATCCACCAGCTAGCTGACAAAATACATGTTTAAAATATTTGAATGATAGTCCACACTCTAGGTTCTGATAAAGTCAATTTTAGCATCAAGATCTGTTGGTTGCACTTATTTCTTTAAACTCACTTTCATATGTTTTAGCTTACAGCAGTTCCTGTAATGTAAGCAGTCCTTTTGTTGTTAGGAGAAAAAGGTTTATAGCAGAGCGAATTAAATTGACAACAAGATAAGTACAAGTTACTGTTACAGAGTATACTGTACACGTTCTTCAACAGCGACAGTTGTAGATTTGTTTTATTGAACGTTTACGGCAAAATATTAAAAAATTGAAAAGTTCTTGATGAAACATTTTTGTGAGAATCAAAATGTGCCTGTCTAACTCAGATACAAGTTGGCGTCATCTGTTCAGCAGAATCTGTCATATTGCAGCATCTCCAGCAGTAGATAGAGCGCTCAACTGTTACCCGTGTCATCCTCTACCTAGGTGGTGACTGTGAGCCCCAAACATTAACCATGCGGTGTGTCACCAGCAGTAGATTGGGCCATCCTTGCGGTGAATCATATAAGTGTAAAATTTCGTTTGTCAAAATGAAACGGTACTTACATTATTGTTATTTTAGAAATCTTAAATTGTGTAAATTACCCCATTTGATTATTTTAAAAATTAAAGTAATCCAAGTATAAGATCTTATCCGATAATAAAAAATGTTGTCTACATAAATGAAAAGTAGTCGAGATATAGTATTACCAAGGATATAATGTAAATACTTAAATGTATAAGAAATCGATCAAATGTCATTGCATTAAAGAAACTCTGAAAAATGGTTGTTTATAAAATCAACATTTAAACATTAAACATTTGTATCAAAATTGTGAGTGTTTTTAAGTAAACGATGCCCGAATATATTTAAGGATTAATAATATAATCACCGCAGCTAAAAAAATTAAAGTTAATTTTGAAATTATACTTAAACAACTTTAAAGGATTTCAGATGCTGTGTTTAGTTTAGGTTTTGACTTGTCAGCCGTTTGGCCTTTTCTATGACCTGATTAGTTGTAAAACTGTCATATTAAAGGTTGCACTTGTTTACTTAATGCGTCTATTTTTAACACATCAGTTTATACACGCTTGTTGTGTGTGTGTGTGTTTAAATTATTACGCCCACTGCGATTGGACCCGTAAAATATCTGTATGTCTTGAGAATAGAACACAAAATCCATGTGCCAGCTCTAGCAGCTCGAGTATATCACGGTCGCCTGAGCTGTTGTCCATCTCTGGTTCTCCATCTAGTCGATACTCGACTTTTATGTTAACCAATCACATCCAGCTAGCAATTAATTGATTCTCTTAATGATTTATCTAAATAAGTCATACTAAATCATTATACATCTATTAAAAGGAATTTAAAAAAAATAATATCAACACATAAAATCATAAAAATAAACATAAACGAGAAACCTTTGCAGAAATGAAGCTTACGTGGTTATATACTTTTGACCAGCTTGCCTGTTAATAAATATTTCTTTGTGTCTGTCTTTTATCTTTTATCTTTTTCTTCACAATTACACCGTTCATCCAATCGCCATGAAACTTTTTGAGAATTCTCCTGGGAAGGTTTCTGCAATAAAATAAAACTTTTGGATGGCCACACCCATGTAGCAGGGTGCCAGTAGTTGCCAGAGTTACCCAGTGGCTATCTCAGCACTTGTGATATGTTGATTGGGCGTCCTGCATGGGTGGACAGGGGTACTACTTGACTCAAGGGTCCTACAACACCAGGCGCATTCGCTGTAATCACAGTGGTCGGGTTACTAGGAGCACCGTCACAGGTGAGCACTATGGCACTGTCACACGTAAGCACTATGGCACATTCATACGTGAGCACTATGGCATCCTCACACGTGAGAACTATGGCACCTTCATACGTGAGCACTATGGCACCCTCACACTTGAGCAGTATATCACCCTCACACGTGAGCACTATGGAAGCTACGTTCGTGTCACAGAAGGGCGTGCATTAGAGAAACTGAAGCCAACTAGTCTTTTTATTAACCAAAAATTCACACGTTTAACATTATCCAATTATTCTGATTCTTAAAATTTTAAGACCAGACAAATAAATAAACAGTAAACATCTGAGTTGATCACATTTAAATACGTTGTTAATATCTATCTCATTGAAGAGAAAAAAAGATAAAATGGTAATGTATAGCCTACATATTGTGTTGAAAAGAAAGGTATTATACATTAGGTACTATTTCTCGTTAATTCAATTATTTATAGCCTGTCATAACTAATTGTTTTATAAGTATTTTGTTTTTATGCACAACATTATTTATTACTAAATAAGACAACTTTATGAAACGATATGCAATTGAGCAGGAAGTTCTATTGTATGTGTTAATCATAAGTAATTAAATAAAACACAATGTGGTGATAATGCTAATTAAATGGAACAACGCTTGATTAAAACAAAAGACACAACTATGTACCCGAATGTTTTATTTGTATTTTACATTTATTATGCTTAAAGTTTTCACGCCATCACACGCAATCTTTTCTTGTCGCACGATTTTATGGTTTCCTTGGTTTCCTGTTAGTGGAATTCCCAGTAATTATAGTAAAAATAATTACTTTTTAAAATAATTTAATCCTTGTAAAATAAAAATAAGTAACTAAATATTTACATATTCGTTGTATTATTTATTTTTATATATCAAGTGAAATAAAAGATTAAGTTTTTGATTGAAATTCGTTAATTATTTGGTTATATTCTACTTTAAAATACAATATTCGTCTTACCTCTAATTTACTTAATAAAAAATATCTTTCATTTTAAACTTACTGCAGTGCAGGTAATTTCAAATTATCTAGAGACTTGAATTTCAAGTCAAAATAAAATAAATATAGAATTATTTGTTAACAAGGAGTGAAGTGCTTATATTCGCCAACATATCCTCTCATAATCTGTTTCGCTTCTATTTATAGGCATAAATCCTACATACTTTTAGAATTTTTGAACGGAACGGTAGTTATTAATTTTGTTTTACTGTAGGTTTGTTTAATTAAATATTTTGATATTTTGTACTGATTGTTGCAAGTGCATCGTAACAGAATCGATGTTATTTCGGATATCTGGTATTTGGTTCCAACATTGACATAATGACTTTTTTTGTCGTTGTTAGTAATGCAAATGGCATTCATATTATATTTGTAACAAATTATTTCTTACACAGGTTAAGGGTCAGGGGATCAAGTTACGGGACATGATCATCGACAGGGTTAGGATTGTGTTAGGTTTATTATTTAAGGTTGCTAGGTTTAAAGGTTAGTGCTAGAGTAGTATAAGAAAACAATAACAGTAATTTTAAAACAATTATTACGTTTTTACTTTCTCGTATATACGAAGTATACAGAAAGTCTTGTAATCGTGTAAAAAAATCGACATTTTTAGAAATCTCGACGTTTTAAACCTTACTGATAAACATAGTTTTGAAATCTTGTCCGTATGTCTGTGTGTATGTGTGTCTGTCTGTCTGTCTGTGTGTAAAGACGATAACTTGAGTACCGTTACAGCTATGTTGATGAAATTTCATATATAAGTAATTTGTCAAAATCGTAGATCCCTATCAACTTTTGGGCGATTTCTGATAACCGGAAGTGGTATTTTTCTACTTTGAATTTTTTAAAAGCCTATAACTTGAGTATTATTTCAGATAGATACATGAAATTTCACATGTAAGTAAAAGATCTAATTGTTTACCCTTTGTCAAATTTTGAGTAATTTCCGTTGACCAAAAGTACTAATTTACGCTATTTCCGATTTCTCAAAAAACGTATGTAAATTTATAAAGTACTAATAATATTGCGCACT